GTCCATAAATACATGTAGAAGCACATATCAAGTATCGGAATGCAAACGGCGGGGTCCCGCGCCTGAATTATGCAACAGCGGCGTGCGCGCCCGTCGTAATAGTGCCGAAGTGGACGAACGCAACTCCTAAAATAATATTACGTGAGGCCACGCCTCGGAACTACGCTGAAGCGGTTTAATCATAACAGCTGAACTTTCTACTCTAACTAAACATAAACCTGATTGAGCGACTCATAAAGAATATTGCATAGAATTACGGGATCAAGTCCAGTCCTTTTTTATTCGTTTTATATGCCTTTTGTGAATGCCAGCATGATTATCGTTAATATCTTTTTATAATATGCCTAACACTGCTTAACATTGAAGATTTTATGTATCGATTTTTTTTGTCATTTGCACTGTAAACTGACACGACTGTAGAACAACTTCATCCAAGGCCATAAAAACATTGTTATTACTGTGCTAGTTTTGATGTGCATCCACATTTGGATGTGCACGCCGATTGTCATCGGGATGTTAGTCACGCTCGGAAGTTACGTAATGGTAAAATTATCGTCTATCGATTCGCGAAGATCCCAACCGATATCCTGGCCCATTACTTAAATGATGGCGCGAAGCGAACTCACGACGCGGCCGTTGCTCTTGCGGGAATTTCACTAAATTAAGATTGTCCACGGGACCGTACCCTCCAGCGAATACTGTTAAAATGCAAGCCGAACTGGTCTTTATCGGTTTTTGATAAAGATGTAATTTGTATCTACACCAACTGTTCAGCGGCTGCATGATTGCATCGGTATAGGACGAATCTCTTCATTTGTTCGGCAATTGGCGACACGTTCCACCATCCGCGATTATTGCCCTTACGCTGGATTAACGGTAGGTCCATTTATCTCTCACGTGTGGTCGATCGGCGTGATAATTACAGAGCAGGGCGCTCGTTTTATGCGAATTTCGCAAACATTAAATAATTTCTTTTAAAAATCGAACCGGCGGTGTTGTGTTCACGAAATGAATTAATGGCCTCGGACGACAGTGCCTCGCCTTTCGCATCGACTACTTCAGTCTATAATTAAAGCAGCTGCAATGTCGTAATTTAAAAGATTTGCGTACACTGAAAGGGTGTAGCATGAAAATGAAAGAACATCTACATTTTCCTAAGCTATCATAAGTTCGGTATCCACTTGACTGAACTTGAATCGTATAAAAAAATTACAGTTAAATTAAAAAAAAATTAAGCGAATCTCAATTGAAACACCGCCTAACTAAGAATGAAGGTAATCCCCGTTAAATTAAAACCAAGAACAATAGCCAAGGATGTGCGTTCATTAACTGACACTAGGAGTGGCGTTGAGACTATGACGTAGTTAATCCTAAAACCACACGCGGTGACGATTACAACGCACCTATTAGTCAAATTGGCTTTATTGTTAGATAGCGTCTGGGTTGCATAAGGCAGACCAATCAGCTTACACGCGGACAATTATGTAAGGCACATTAGCCACACAATACGATGAGTCAACAGAAATGGCGTCCCGGGCGTTTATCAAAACAATAGTATTGATAAGTTAATAAAGGGTGGCGCGAGCCGACTAACGAGCGATTACGGATCGACGTCTGACATAGACGCGCGTCTCGCGCGGAATATGTTATAGACCCGTGAGTCACTGTCCGTATCAGAAGGACCGATCCAGGATTATCGAGGTCTAAAAAAGAGGAAGAATTTACGACTCGTGTCTATAAGTTTCTAGAGTGGCAACCTTCCCTTTTTTACAAACGACGCACCCGAGACGTGCTTTGAAATAGAATCGAGGTATCCACGATGGAATCCGCGGAAGAAACTCGAGCGCTGAAAGCGAAAACTCAGTTTTGCGATATTACGAAACGCGGAGACGGCGGACGCGAGATTAGGAGATCCGTTCGGAGCGAGGGCATTGACCGAATTCCATATTTATACGGCTAATTCATGCACAAGAGCATCTGCATCCTACGAGACCATGTTGCGTCAACATGCCGACAGCGGACTTAATACAGTTTATATTCACGAAACAGCCGCGGGTATAACACGCCGCGAATACTTAAAGAATTATATTTATGTGTATGACTGCTATGATGACAGGTGAAACCGTTCCCTGGGAAACAGAGAAAACGGTCGCCAGTCGTTCCGTAGATCGAGAAACTGGACCACGATCGGTATGTCACACGTCCGGCCGCCATAAAAATATAAACAGCTGTAAGTAAAGGAGAGCGCGATCACTCGAGAATTTACACGCGATGGGTTCATCACTCGTAATCATAATTATAGTGTGAATGTGTCAATCAGACTGCCTTATCACTTAGTAGGCTTTTATACGTGGTAGAGCCATGCTGCAGCTATATTAGTAGTAAAGTTGTAGCACGAATGGGTCGGCTCGACCGGGGAAGAACCACGCTCTCACAGAAAACCAGCATAAAATGGCAGCTTAACCCTGCTGTGTTTCGTATGGTGAGTGTAGAGAACCGGAGACCCCTTTTACTGGCAAAGAGGCATTCCATCTTAGTCCTCACGGGTGACAACGCATCTGCATCTTGAGTCTTTATTGAGGATAGATGTAGATGTCTATGGGTCACAGTAACCACTTACCATCAGGTACACTGTGTGCACGTTTGTCACCCTATCCTATAAAAAAAAGGCATGCGTGAACAATAATGACCTATCTCCCAGCTGACGTGTTATCGTCCGTCAAACACGATACACTCACCTGAAGCCGAGAGGTCTTTATCAATCTGAACGGAAAATTTAAATCAACATATCAAAGGAAGAGTGATTCGAAGTAATCGATTTCAACGTTTCAAAATGAAGAGCTTTGAAGAGGTCGGGGGCACAGTGGGCGCTCCAATGGGTTCGAAATTAAATCGATATGCAAATGAAGCACGAGCGATTAATCGTTGTGCGCAGTCGATGCGACGCGAGTTAAAGCGGCTACTGGGAACAAATCGATGAATAAATAGTGGCCGATTAGCGGCACCACATTAATCGATGAAGCAAAACTCGTTGATGAATCGTTCGACTGGAAGCAATTTGGCAATAACATGTACAAGTAAATACTCCAATTAACGCGCACATGTACACGCCCATTGAGTTAAGAAATTGATAAATAATTACATTTTTCCAAACTTGTTGTTACATAATGAGATGCGTTAGTCTAAAAATGGATCAATTGGTTGTGAAATTTCAATTAAGAAGTAAACATAAATGAGGAAGCATACTTACTACTCGCGCGCGCATTATATGACAGGATTTCGTCCTGCTTGACAAAAGAATATCTAAGAATCACTCTTGCAATAACCAAAAGTAATTTTCAATGAATCTGTTGATAATCCGGATCACAGTGAGTCAGTTGAAGACTTGGGGCGTCGTCGGCAACCGCGCTCCGGTGATAATTGGAAACTGTCTCTAGTTTCAAACACCTGCTACTTTGTGAGTGACTTTTTCTCTCTTTGCATTATTTAAGGCGCAATGAACGGGCACTCGATACGGTTTTTTTTTTCTTTACTTTAGTAAGTTTATCCATGACTTGATTTATTTCAGCTTCTCTCACATTTTAAACCTACTTTTTACAAAATTATCAAAGTTCATTTAAACTAAACTATAATCAACTGACGTATCAAAATAAATACTTTTTTGCTTCTATCAAGTCAAAATTAAAGTTGTGAGAAAAAAGAATGTGAGGGATACATCCCGTTTCTATACAAAAAAAATATATTAAAGAAGACGTTTGTTTTTGTACTAATACTGACTTCGGAGAGATATGAGTCCAAGACCCGCGACTATATACTCAAGTACCTACCTACTTGTCCGTTAAGTTCGTTGCCTCGTTAGCATGTGGCTCATTACATAACAAAGGTTAATTTATCGTAACGAGGGCTTTCCGCAGTTTACAATAAAATTTGTATTATTAAGACAAGTTTAAAATATATCGGCCAGCCATTACGAGTATGAATGGCCGATTCATTCATCATAATGAATCAATAGCTGTGTAAAAGGCCGCTCCCACTTCCGACTCCGTCATTTTAAGATCTACAACCGGTTTTGGATCTTAACTATCAAACCGATCCAAATATTATATTGAGCTCAACCAACACTTCAAAACTATCAATGACATTTTTAAAATTTTCAGTTGAACACATTCTTTAGAAAAATTCCACCTGTTTTACCAGTGATAATCTCATTAAAAAAGTCATCATCCTCTTTAAAATCTTCAATAATTCAAAATAGATGATAATCAAATAAAAAAATTAAAACTATTATTACTAAAGTAAGGCGATAAGAAAAGGATGTCACATATTGGTCGGTTACTTATTAGATCCCATGTTTATGTGAGACTTATAATAAAAAAGTGCCAACTGTATAACTTGCTTAGCATGTCGAAATAGGCGACTAATAGGATATTCGGTTTGTGATCATGTAGGCGACAGACTAGCCATCTATAGCTTCTTTCAGAATTTTCCATCTAAAGGCATATTTTTCTCTAAAAGTGCCGAGTAGCTCGGTGCGCTTTGGATTCTGCCTACCCACCCACTCGGGGATCACAAGCGTAATGTACAAAAAGGAAGATATCATCAACTGCATTACGCTAAACTCTTAGACTACTCTTTCACAGAAGTCCATTGAAATGTGCAACTAGATATCGAATCGAATATCGAATATCGATATCGAATAATTAAAATCGGTTTACATTTTTTACAAATTCAGATATTTAATTGGCGGTTATAAATATAGACCCAACTCAAACTCTCAAAAAACAAACAAAGACATAAATTAAGAAATTACACTCTATCCCCGAGCTATTTACAAATATAGTTAACAAAATACTTTATTGCTTGCATTTATGTATATTACTCTCCTTATCAATTTAATTTACAAGTCTACCTTGAACGTGACTACTGCGATAGTCTAATCGGAATCCCTAGCGGTATCGCAATTAGGGGCCGTTGATATCTCAGTTAATTGCGTATGCGAACTACCGTTGCGGATGATGCGACATGTGAGGGTGAGATAGATGGGGGTGGGAGTACGGCTGACCTAACGAGCCGAGCGGAAGTGGCGACGGACAGGGAGGGTGTTGATGGTACTGCTGCAGCGGTGACGGTGCTAGACCCGGGTGGTGTTCCAGGGGGTACTGCGCGGACCCACCGTACGCCAGTTGTCTCACCTTCATATCCTCGTCTACTACGTTATAGGTGAGCTCGGTTTCCTCGAAGCCGGTGGCCGCCATGCGCTGCTCACTGGTGGTGGGCGGGTCCGGTGAATTCAGACAGGTCTGAATGAGCCGTTTGCCGGAATCCGATGTGATCATTGGCTGCAGTTTCCGCGTGGCGAATGTGTACACGTGTCCAGTTTCAGATGCGACTAGTAACATCACTTGTGTGCCCGTTAGGGTTGAAAGCTCGTATGCCTGAAAAGAAAAAAAAATATTTTAGTATTTATTGCTATTTTTGTATCTATTACAACGTTCTTCTCCACTCTATAACAGTGATACCTTCCATATTATGTTTATCTCTGCTTAGCCTAATAGTGAACTGGGATGCATATGCAATGCTGTTAATGCCTTAAGGCATTAAGTCCGCCATATGTACGTGTATATAAAAGTGCATAAGTTATAATAAATAAATAAAAAAATAAAATGATCCAGTATCTTCCCATCGTAGGAAGGAATTGCCGTAATCACACTTGTACAATGCTGCTCCAATTATTTGGGTATTTTACGTCAGACATAAACGAGACAGATAGCGCCATCTATCGCGGAACGTATCTACACATACGTAACGAAATGGGGTAGTGAATAAAATAAAATGTAAAATAGTCTTATTTTCTCTTATTATCAAAGTACATAGTAATGAAATAAAAACATGCGTGAGTGTCGTGGAACACTCGGTTGGCACAAAGTTCCTCTCGTAGTATGTTATTATTGATAAACGTATTATATTATTGATTAACAAATACAAATAAATAAATTGCTAGCGTTTATTAAGTGTCATTTAAAATAATATTTGTTTCATGGCCAAATAAGAAAAAGTGCGAGGGAGATGGATATTATTCCATCTCGCTCGCACTATAAAAGGGCATCGTGACGGAAAAATCTTACACTTTTTCTGGCCTAGCTGCGATAAAGAAGTTCGTTCCAAAAATACAACGGAATAAATTAAATTAGACGGCATGATAATGAGGGGTTTTATATCGGTAAAAGCTATTTAAAAGTTTTATAATAAGAATATCCACCTAAGCTTTGAGTAAGTGGATTATCCTATGCCTTCACATCACGGTAATACTGTTTAGAAAATATGCTAATATATACATATGCTATGCTGATAACATCAATGGTAGAACGTACGATGTTTGAAAACTTACAAACTTCACACTGGAACAAATCGGTCAAGTGCACGCTATGCACTATTAGTTTACCAAGCCATCAACCATCCCCTTTCCCGTCCCTCCCCAATTCAATTATTAATTATATTATGGAATTATAAGTTAGTTTTTGTACGTGGTAGAGCCATGCTCCATCTATATTGTGGTTGCAGCACGATTGGGTCGACTCGACCGGAGTAGGACCACGCTCTCACAGAATACTAACGTAAAATAGCAGCGCAATGCGGCTGTGATTCGTGTGGCGAGTGTAGAGAACCTGAGACCCTTTTTACTGGGACTGGACAATCTTAATTGAGAATAAATGTAGTCTATGAGCCATAGCATCTACTTGACATCAGGTGGACAGTGTGCTCGTTTGTCACTAATTCTATAAAAAAAAAAGTCCAAAAACTCTAATTTTTAACTTTACGTCGGGTATTTGAGCAAACGCATTTTATTACTAAGACAAATTGAAAAACTTATACAAAACATTCAGATACTGAGGGTTCTGTTTTGCTAAATTTGGCACAGAATATGAAAAAAATTCACAGGTTTAAAAATAAAAACAAAAAGTTTTAATAGGCAATAAAATATTGGTTATTTAACATGTACCATTAATTTAAAGCTATTTCAAGTGTTCTTTTATGATCCAAACTGGTTTCAATTTACGATCAGCATATAACCGACACTTGGTTACATTTAGAGCAGTTTTTATTCTATTATTATTAGAGATCTGGCCGATTATATTATTCAGGTTTTTAATAAACGGCTATGACAATAGGTGGAATGGTATGGACGCTTTGAAGCTGCAGATATAAAATAAACAAGACATTCAAAAACAGGAGCGTGAAATGAGAGGAAAGCAGGAAACGCTGTTAGAACCAAAAAGTGCCCTTGCAACCTTTCACCTCTCCCACGCCCTTAATTCGTAAGCAAACTGAGCACTTTGGAAGCAATATCACTCTCACGGCTATTCTTTTTGTTTGCCCGACGAATTATCACACCCACAAGCGCCACCTACACAATTTAAACCAATTTACATCAAAGTGCGACACACACACAAAAATCAACTTAAGCTGTATAAAAATACAGTTTCTCCGGCGACAAATCGATCGGTGGACAATTGAAACGGGTAACTGACAAATTTGCGGTAGCCCGTTCGTTATTTGACACTCAAATAAGTGTTAAGTAGAAAGTAAACCTTAGCGCGTAGGTCATAGAGCTAGGTGTGAAAGGGTTGCGTGGCTTTAAGAGTAAAATTACGCATGTTTGACGTATAAATTATGCACAGTTATGTAATACTGCGCAAGTGTGTTTAAAACACAATTCGCCCACCTATTACGTGATTTCGGTGATACGGGAAATATTATATTATGTTTGTCATGACGATCTGATTTTAAATTTTATTCTAAAGATTCCTATTGCAATACAATAATAACTGTTTATTATTTGTTAAATGTTTTAACGATGTCTGTAGTTCAAATATACAGTCAACACGAAGAGCGAGACACACACTACACTACACTCCTTAGTTCCATAGTACGCTAAAAACACGAGTTCGATGCGATAAGTATCCATCCGTCACCACTAATCCCAGCACCGCTACTCCCAACACGGGGATAGTGCACGCAATTGAGGGAGGGCGGGAGGTGCTCTTCATACTAGGTAAGACACATCATTTTATTTTATAACGCGGATATTTGCGAAGTAAATTTTTCTAAAAGCTTTTATATAATGGATTTCCGCAAAGTAACGCCTGATTCTATTAATTATATTAAAAAATATTATCAACAGTATTATTATCAAACAAACATTTTAATATTAATTATAGATCTTCAGGTACGGCGAGACTACGTTTAAACTTATCGAATAGATTATATTAAAATAGTTATACACTAAGCACATGTTGGCCTCCAGACCGAAATTCTTTCACGGTGACCAGTCTCAACGAAGACCATTCCCTCACTGTCATAGTCCTATGTGACAGCACAGCGACACGATCGGATAGAGATTAGGCGCTGGTACAAAGGATTTACGTGCTTTCCTTAGCACGAGGATGAAACACAACCAACTTTTTGAATTCCGACTGATATCAGCTGCTAAGAACATTTCTTGACAATTTGAGTTTAGCTTGATCGGGGATTCGAACTAAGTCATTAGACACCTAGACACTGCCTACGAGGCAGTCAAACTGAATTAGCACATGACGAGGTTCTCGCGATATGAAAATTCTTGAAAATACTTGAACCAACTACATAATATTATGAGAATTCAAAGCTTCAAATTGAGGTATATTTTATATGAAATTGAAGCCAATTAAGTAAATTAAGTAGTTAGAGATACATAACAATAGACAAATATAATTTTTAAACACTTTTACTGTTGGTTTTTTTTTATCGTAAAAGGGTTTATTTAAAGTTTCCTAAAATAAAAGCACTAATTGAATCTGTACGATTTACACCCACAGATTCTAATAATGGTTCTCTGGACATTCAACACTAACATCATTTTAATAAACTAACAGAATTTATACAATACTTAAGTCAGTTTAGGGATTTTCAAAGTTCTTATGAATGTCAAAATCCACCTCCGGTTCAAAAAGTGAGAACTGTACCCAAAATATCTGTCAAAAACCCGGGGTTCTTGTTTTTCCTTTTTATGAATGAATATTGAACATTGAATGGAATTATATCATATATCATCACATAAATTACAATTTATGTCATTGTAACAGCCGAACAAGAATTTAACTTCTCATCTCTATCCTACAAGTATTTTTAAACATTAACATTACAAGTATTTGTAACATTTTTGTTACTTGTTAAGTGACGTTTAATCAATTAAACTTAGCAAAACTGAAAATAATTCAAAAGTATTAAAATTCAATTTAAACTATGCTTTAGTTATGTCATGTTCTTCAAAAAATATTCAATACAATTGATTAGTAACCTTATTACCTTTAACACAAGACCGCATTTCACTTGCAACAACATCACACCCTCCTAGGTCGTTTCGTCGATCAATAAAATGATTGATGATAAGACGCTAATTAGCAACTGTATTCCCTTCAGCGGCAATTTCAAGCTCATCTGGGTCATTGCAAAATATTCTTTACTCTTATTGAGAACACGTTTCACAATGGCGGCACAATTAACCTTACCACAGAGCCGAAATTGATGATTACAAATGCACCCTTAATGAACTTTGTTGTTAATATGATTAACGACACCTCGGGAAAACTGCGCGTCTCGTGAACAATGATATAACTGAAAGTTAACATATTACAAATTTCATATGTTCAAAACTTTTTAAAGATTGAATCTACGGTACGGTACCTGCATTAACCTGTAGCATCAAAATATCGAATCTTCAGCAGGCAAATCGATTAAGTCATTAACAAGAGCCGTAACGGCTGGTTTAATAACGTAGTTTAAGGTCATTACGATGATAAGTGTAGACATGTAGCAAGCCAAATTACTACCAAATTGATTGACACTATAATTCACATTCAAAGGATCGAAGATGCGGCGGTTACGCCATTTCAATTTTATACGGTGATCGGAAATGCACATCAAGTTAAGGAGCTCGAAGTATGTGTTAATTTGTGGCAAGCGCTGGCAATGTTCTCAAACTTGAAACCAGTGATTCTCAAAGTCAAAGAATCTCAAAGTTTTGTCCTACAACATTTAATAAGTGATTTATGAATAAAAATCAGTCTTTAAACTAACTATTAACTAATCTATCACATTACAGGTATGTCACCTAAGCTTACTACAAAATTAAAACTGGCAAAATTTGTTTGACATCCTTCAATTTTTTAAATAATTTAACACCAGCCCGTAAATAGTATTAAACCCTTGAGAAGCAAATTTCAAAATCACGCTCAGTAGACAGTTCGATATGATAGCAAACGATGTAAACAAGAAATCAAGATTTGCTTAAACGTTATTTGCAATATTGCAGACGAATCCAGTAGCATTACATTTTGTAATTCTGTAACAAGGCGCAATAAAAGCATAATGCGAAATTTATCACCGCGATTCTCTC